ATGGCACCTGACAACAACAAATATTTGGAAATAGTTCATCACTCCTTCTTCCTAGTCTGTCTTTGTCTGGAAGCTCATCTGAAACCTGTCCACCATAGGTGACCCTGCTGGTATTTAAAATACCAGTGGCATAGCTTCCAGAATCACAGCAACTCACAAGCCACCACAGTACGACAAACTGACAGATGAGAAGAACTGACACATTTGAGTTATGGTGTTGGAGGAGAATATTGAAAGTGCCATGGGCTGCCAAAAGAACAAACAGATCTATGTTGGAAGAAGTGCAGCCAGAGTGCTCCTTGGAAGCCAGGATGGCTAAACTACATCTCTCATACTTTGGACATATTGTCGGGAGGGATCAGTCGCTGGAGGAGGATATCATGTTTGGTGGGTGGAGGGTCAGAGTAAAAGAGGAAGACCCCCAACGAGATGAATTAGCCAGGTGGCAGCATCAATGGACTCAAGCGTGGCAACAATAGTGAAGATGGCCCAGGATTGGGCAGTGTTTCGTTCTGCTGTGCATAGGGTCGCTATGAGTCGGTACCTACTCGGCACCTAACAACAACAACAACATAAGAGGCACATCAAAAAGAAGGAGACAACCTAAATGCCCATCAATAGAAGAATGGTTAGACAAACTTTGGTATATACACACAATTGAATATTATATGAAACATTGCAGAATAACAATGAATCTGTAAAACACCTCAGGACACGGATGAACCTCAAGGACATTATGCTGAGTGAAAATTAGTGAATCACAAAAGGACAAATATTATATGAGACCAATGTTGTATAAAGTTAAGAAAAGGTTATTTTGATAAAAGAAACAATCTATGATAGTTACAAGTGTGTGTGTGGGGGGGTAGGAATTATTCACAAGGTAGAGGGTAACTCATGTTAACATGGGTGACAGGGCAGGCAATTTACAACAAGTGGGAGATTAGCAGAGGAAAGAAGAGGGTAGCTGGAGATTTAGGGAGGAATGCAATATTAAAGTTAATAGGTAAATACTGTTAACTGTTGGTATATGGAAGGACTTGAAATCATTGTAATGAAGCAAAGTGTATGATTTGTTGAATGTAATACTGATGATCTGCTTTGTAAATCTTCATTCAATTCACAATAAAAAGTTTAATATAGAAATAAAAGGTTTTACAGGCCACACCCCTGAAAATAACCCTTAGATTGGATCAGGGTTGTGAAGGGATGAAGGGTGGTAATATCCCACCCTTAAGGAGCATGGGTGGCACTGTAGGATAAGCATTGGATTGCTAATCACAAGATTAACAGTTCAAACCCACCATCTGCTCTGTAGGATAAAGATAAGGGTTTCTGCCTCCATAAATATTTACAGTGTCTGAAATCCTATATGGGGTTGCTATGAGTTGAAATTGATTCAATGGCAGTGAGAAGGCTTTATTCCACCCTTAATCCTTTTATTAGGGTCCTGGTGTGGCGCTGGGGGGTTAATGCACTGGACTGCAAAGTTAGTTTGAACCTCAAGGTCGGTGGTTCAAGCTCACCAGCTGCTCCTTGGAAACCCTATACAGGGTCGCTATGGGTTGAAACCAACTCAATGGCACACAACAATAACAATCCTCTTATTGATTTATCACATCAGATCACATAATGGGAGATCATCGCACAAATGCCAAACCACTGAGAATCATGGCCCAGCCAAGCTGACGTAAATATTTTAGGGGGACATAATTCAACCCATGACAAGGAGCAATAGGCAACACAGTACAGGTAGATGGACTACAATAGGGCAGACAACAGTGCTACACAAAGGAACCAGAAAGGGCTGCCTCACCTACTGGTCAAATCTAAAGGATCAAAACAAATGATAGTAATGAATGTAATCCACTGTGTACAGTAAGAATCCATTCAGCCCATAGTAATAACAAACAGAGATGGAAAGTTCTTCCTTACAGTAGCAAGCCAACTAATAAATGGAGAAGGAATGATTTTTTAAAAATCACTTTATGACCATTATTGTAATGAATAATTTGGGTAAGAACCATAATTAAGGCTAATGGAAGGATCTCTGGTGGCACAATTATTAAGCTCTCAGCTGCCGACTAAAAGGTCCGTAGTTCAAACCCACTAGCCACTCCAAGTGTAAAAGACACAGCAAACTTTTCCATAAAGATTTACAGCCTAAAAAACACTTTTGAGCAATTCTACTGCACAGCAGTTCTACCTACAGGGGCACTGTAAGCTAGAATTGACTCAACAGAACATAACAGTAGAGTTAATAGGTTCAAGTTTCATAAGGAACAGAATTTTAGATAACTTTAAAGTGATGGTGGTGATGTGCCTTGGAGTCAGTTCCAACTCATAGCGACCCTGCATAGGGTTTCCAAGGTTATAAATCTTTACAGGAGCAGAAAGCCTCATCTTTCTCCTGTGGAACAGCTGGTAGTTTCAAACTGCTGACCTTGAGGTTAGCAGCCCGTCTCATAACCACTACGCTACCGGAGCTCCTTAACTTTACAGTATATTCCCACAAAAGAAGAAAAATGGTACCGTTCCAGTACAGAATCTGGCAGAGAATACCCTAAATCAAGTAATTGAAGTAAACAGCACTGAAAATTAGAGCAAGTGATGTCATGTGCCACCAATGAGATGTATTAAGAAGGAAACATTACTTCTGTGGTATTCTTCACAAAAGAAAAAAAAAAAGCATAGTCTAAGGCTAAATGTGAGGAAACATCAGACAAACCTAAACTAAGGGCCATTCTACAAAATATATGACCTAAACCAAAACCAGACCCAGTGCCATTGAGTTGATTCCAAGTCACAGTGACCCTTTATGGACAGAGAACTGCTTCACAGAGTTTCCTTATGGGAACAGACAGCTTCATTTTTCTCCTGCTAATTTTAGAGTTAGTAGCCAAGTGCTTAATCCATTTAGCCACCAGGGCTCCTTATAAACTGTCTATATGCTACAAAATATTAATTTATTAAAGATTTTTTTTTTAAAGCTGAGAAATTGGTCCAGATTAGAGAACACTAGAGATATTTGATAAATTAAATGCATTTCAAAATCCAGAATTGGGATTAACACCAATTTGTTTACATGGAAAAGAGGCATGTAATGTCTCCTCCCAAGCAGAGATAGAAAAGAATAATAGTTGGAGGTGATCCAGGTGGCTGAATGGCCTGCCACTGAAATGCAGGAAGAAGATTCAAGCTCCTAATGAAGAAGGCTCTTGGATGAATAAGACCAACACGGTCCAGTGGGAGACAGAGAAAAGCAAATGGCTCCAGGTCATAGCTGCTGTGAAGTGAAAATAACACTGAGCTATGGATACACAAGGGGCGATTGTTTTTCAGAAACTAAAGTGATCAACACCAGCTTCAACCTGATCCAGAATATGAGTAGAATCTCCAAGCCTGACAGAGTCCAGCAGGATATGCTGTTAAATCCATCCCATAGTAAGTGATGCTCAGTATCCTAGATGCCCTTGCAGCAGAATTCATCTTGTAGAAAAGCTGTCACATGCACCCAATTATCAAACCCCTCCCAGGTGGGCAAATTCCAGGAAGAGGCACCCAATTCCTTTGTTCCCCCTTTTCCTCATCATAGTAAAAAGTATAACTGCCCTGTTGGAAACTTGCTTAGGGAGACCTGAACTGTATTGATTCAAAGCCAGCTCTGTCTCCTTTGCAAGGCACTTTTGCTTTCATAAATAAATTCCTTGCCTGTGTGGAAAAAGAAAAAAATCCTGAATTGAAACTAGACCAGAAAGAATTACATGAAGGAAGACGTTATTAGGATAATTGGTGAACTGAATAGTCTGGATTTTAAATACAGTATTGAAAAAATTTTTATTTTGATAATTTTCTGATTTCTGATTGTGAAACCTGTATCATTTTGCATAGTAATTGCAAACTCTCAAATTGTTTATTTTTTTAAAGTATGTATAATACATACTTAAGAAAATATTAAATTATTAATATTAATATCCACAGAGTAAATGTAATAAAATATTAATAATTGGTGTAGCTAGTGAATCTGGGTGAAATGTATACAGGAATTCTATATAGTAATCTTTACTTTTCTGAACATTTGAAATGATTGAAAACAAAAACCAGTATTAAATCACTATTCAATCCTATCTCGATTGCCCACTACAAATGTTAATGTGTATAAGCCATTAAACCTATCAGAACTTCTGGGAGGGTTCTGAATGATCTCATGGGATCATTGTGCATTTTAAATGAGATAAGAGTTTCCTGCAAATGCAGGAGGTGGGTGGTTCCTGGGGTATTTCCCTTCTGGACTTCCAAGCTCCCCAAACTCCAAAACGAAAGCATTCAGGGTTGAAGAATGACTTAGTATATACATTACTCACTGAGTCTAAAGATTAATAGCACCAAAAGAGGGTCTCTCCATGGGTTGGAGGGAAGGGAAATTTTTTCACTTGCTAAAGAGTAGAGACATGTTAACTTGGGTGACAGAGAAGGCAATATACGAGGAAGGTTGGCAGTGGAAAGACGAAAGCATCAGGAGACACAGAGAAGAGTGCAAGAGTTAAAGTGACTAGAGGTAGACACTGTTCACTGTTGGTACATGGAGGGGATTGCAACAGAGATGAAATGAAGTATATGATTTGTTGAATACAAAACTGATGATCTGTTCTGTAAACCTTCACTCAATTCACAATAAAAAAAAATCTTTTTTGTTCTAAATTAACTTTGGATAGGATTAAAAAGTACTTAACAGAAAACAAACAAAAGAAAACAAGAGGGTCTCTCCATACCTGAGCTGCCTCCCACCTAATTCCATCAGAGCCGTGGCAGAGGATTTAAGGAAGTGCCTCAGAGGCCCACTCCTCCTCTGCCTCTCCTCTCCGTGATTCTTCCACTGACTGCGGGTTTATCCCTTGTTTCCCTAAAAGTGGACCTCAAAATTGATCATACCGACTTCTGGGACAGCCTCCATGGCCAAGTCCCAGGGTTATTGGACTGGGACTTGGGGAATGAGTGCTTCCTGCGCTGCATCACCACGCACTTAGCCCCCGCGGAGAAGAACCGTGAGTGCCCCGTAGATGGGGGGCGAGTGGGGGATGGGCGTGCTGGCGGTGGCTGGGTGGTGCTCCAGGAAACTGTCCAGAGGCCAGTGGGCTTCCCGACCCTTGGTTTCTGACTATTCTCACCTCCTAGGGTGGAACTCTGGGCTAGAATGTGGGGTTTCGGGACCCTATAAGCTACCATTATTGAGTTACAAGGGGTGTTCACCCCCCCGCTACTATCCACTTGGTGGACTCCAGTGGAGATATGGCTCCTGCCTCCATTGACCTCGAGGGTAACCGGATCCACCTAAAAATCCGGCTGCTTTCAACTCTACTCTAGCCACCCAATTCCGGAGAGAACTTTTTAGGCCTCGGTCTTTTTTCCAGGGCGTTTCTCGCCATTTGGCGTTCGATTTATTTTACTTATCTTTCTGTATCCTTAAAAATGTTTTAACTCATTAGTTTTGTTCATGGTCGTACCCACCAGTTGTTTATTGCCAACATCTAAAGATGTTCATGGATGATTGACTATCGGGTTTCTTGTTTTTGTTTTTTTGTAACCTTTCTCTTTGAAGCTCAAGTGCAGAGAGTTGAGATAATCACCCCTATATAACCGACTCTATGGCACACAGCCACCACCATATTAGTGGTAGATTATTGCCAGCTACTCTGTCAGGCCTTTGTTGTTGTTGTTGTTGTTGTTAAGTGCCATCGAGTCGGGTCCGACCCATAGCGACCCTGTACAGGGTTTCCGAGGGTGTAAATCTTTACGGGAGTAGAAAGCCTCATCTTTCTCCCGCGGAGCAGCTGGTAGTTTCGAACCGCTGACCTTAAGGTTCGCAGCCCGATTCGTAACCACTACGCTGTCAGGCCTTTAGATGAACTTTATTCAGGTTTTCAATCTCCTGTCCCACTTCCACTCCCCTCCCCCACTCCCATTTAATATGTCTGTCACTGTGAATCTTAACATTGGTTTAATGTTTTTTTGTTTTTGGTAGATTTGTGTACCCTTTAAAACTAGTTAGCATTATCTTGTATTTACATGTGACCCTAATTTATGTAACTGAGTCGACTTTTTTGCTTTTTTTTTTTTCACTGAATGTAGTTTTGAGAGCAATTAACATTGTAAATTCAGATTTGTTCTTTTTGAGCACTGCACAGTATTCTATCATATGTATGTAATATACATGTACCACCTTTACATTTTAATTCCTCTCCTAATCAATACCTAGCCTGCCAACAACTCTTTGCAACAGTAGTTGTACTGATGAACATTCCTGTTAGTATTGTTGAAAGTTCCTCTGCGCCCTTTCTTGAAGAAATCTTTATTGAGCTCTTACAATTTGCCAAGCTTTGTTGTAAATAATTTTGATACATAGTTCCTGGTGTGGCACCTGGGTTAATGTGCTGGACTGCAAAGTTGGTTTGAACTGCAAGGTTGGTGGTTCAAGCTCACCAGACGTTCCTTGGAAACCCTATACAGGGTTGCTACCAGTCAGAACCAACTCGATGGCACTTAACAACAACCCCTGATGTAGAGCAAGAGGAGAAGCCATAAAACTCATTAGGAGGCTACTACAGGCAAGAAAAGAGATTAGAATGGACCAGGTGAGAAGATAGAACTAGTTCCATTTGCTAATGAATTGGTTGTCTTGATATCAGAAAAAGATTTGAGGATGACTCCAAAGTTTCTGGCTGACAAACATGGAAGGATGGCGTTGCCTTATACTGAGATAAGGAAGGTTTCTGGTAGGACAGATGTAGGGAATAAGATCAGGAATTCTGCTTTGGACATGTTGAGTTTGAAATAGTAAGTTGTTAAGTACCGTGGAGTTGATTCCGACCCATAGTGACCCTGTACAGGGTTTCCAAGGCTGTAAATCTTTACAGGAGCAAAAAGCCTCATCTTTCTCCCGTGGAACAGCTGGTAGTTTCGAATTGCCGACCTTGAAGTTAGCAGCCCGATTCGTAACCACTATGCTACCAGAGCTCCTTAGTCACATGGAAAACTTGAGTAGGTGATTGGATGTATGAGTGGAGTTCTGGAGAGTGGTGTGGCACTGGATAAGCACTGTACTGCAAGGTTGGCAGTCCAAACTCACCAACTCCTACTCAGAACCCACATACAGGGTCCCTGTGAATTGGAACTGACTAGATGATACTTAACAACAACCAAGTTGAAAGGATAGGGTGGTATTTAGAAGTGAGCATTGAGAAGGACCAAAAAATGAACCCTGGGGACATTTCAATGTAAAGAAACAAGAGAGATAACCAGCTAAAAAGATTAAGGAAAAGACTAATAAAAATCAAAACCAAAAGACTGTGGTATCCTGAAAAATAGGTGAAGTAATATCTGGTAGCGTAGTGGTTACGAATTGGGCTGCGAGCCTCAAGGTCAGCAGTTCGTAACTACAAGCGGTTCCATGGGAGAAAGATGAGGCAGTCTGCTCCCATAAAGATTTACAGCCTCGGAAACCCTGTGTAGGGTCGCTATGAGTCGGAACTGACTCCATGGCACCTAACAGCAACAGCAATATTTGAAGAAGGGTGGAACACTGATGTAATAAAATGGAAGCTTTACTGCATACATGAATGCTAATGAAAATAACCCAATAAAGACTAAAAAAATTGTAATAATAATGACACAGGAAAGAGAAGGGAGGAGTATTGGAATATTGTCTTTGAGGAGGCATCAGGTTCCCTGGTAGCACCATGGGTTAAGCATTGGGCTGCTAATTTAAAGGTCAACAGTCCGAGTCAACCCATCAGCTGTTCTAGAGAAAGATGAGGCAGTCTGCTTCTGTAAAGATTTACAGCCTCTGAAACTATGGGACAGTTCTACTCTGTCCTATAGGGTCCTGTAGAGTTTGAATTGACTTGCACAGAGCAGGAAGACAAGAGTATATAAGTACAAATACAGGTAAGTGAGTAGATGTGGTTTGGGGACTCTAGATGTTTTGATTGCTTCTGTATTTTCAATTAAGTAAGATCTAAGTTGAGTAAAAATGGGAACAAGATGGTGGAAAAGCTGTCAAACTGACCTTTAAGAGAGTAAAAGGATAATCAGACTCCAGGGGAAATATAGTGATGGAGAGGCAGTATGAAAACCCCACTTGTGATTCATGGTCTTGAATGTAAAGTGGGACCAATCAGTAGGAGAGATGTGTTTAAACTGCAGGTGCAGGTAATGGAGTTTACAATCATGGACTTCAGAGCCAAAGAGCCTCAAGAGAATAAGGGGATAGTCAAGGGAGTGAGCACAGAGCATAATGTTTGGCCACTAGATTCCAAGTTCAAGAAGTTGTTGGGGGCTGTTGAGTCATTTCCAACTCATAGAGACCCCATGTGACACTAGACTTGCCCCAATCTTTATGGGAACAGATCGCCAGGCATTTCCCCCCCCCCCCCCCCCAGGAGACATACTGGGTAGGCGTAAGCCAAACACATGACCACGGTGCCACCAGGGCTCCTTAGTTGAATGTGGTGGTGGTGGTGTGTTGTAGAGTCAGTCCAACTCATAGCGACCCTGCATAAGGTTCTGTGGCTGTAAATTTTTAGGAGAGCAGAAAGCCTCATCTTTCTCCCATGGAACAGCTGGTAGTTTAATAGACTTCAAATAGTTGAGAACAAAGAAAAGGTGAAAAGGATTTGTGGATTGGGGATACCTAGGATGAAAGAGCAATTGGGCTTGAGAGGGAGGAAGTTAGAAAGATAGGAATGGTAATTTTTATGGCGAGGTGACAAGTCACTGGTTTCGCTTAAGATAGTGAGAAGGACTCTGAAATAGGGTGGAAGGCAAGATCTCTGGAGAAGAGGTCAAGGAGTTGATTGAGAAGCCAGGTTATTGGTTCAGTGTTAGAATTCTCACCGTCTTCGCAAGAGACCCTGCTTCAGTTCCGAGCCAGTGCACCTCATGCACAGCCACTGGTGGCAGAAAGACCTGGCAACCTGCTTCTGAAAATCAGTCAGTGAAAACCCTATGAGTCACAATGTAACATTGTCCAATTCACATCCAGTCATGGGGATGACACAGTACTGGGCAGCATTCTGTTCATTATACATGGGGTTACCATGAGTAGGGTTGGAGTTAATGGCAGCTAACAGTCCTGGTGTGGCACTGTAAGAGAAGCACTGGATAACTACGAGGTCTGCGGTTCAAACCCCCCAGCCACTCATTGTAAACCCTATACAGGGTCACTGTGCGTCAGAACTGACTCGACAGCACTTAACAACAACATATTAACCTGAATATACAACACAAAACAGGAAGACCCTCAATAAGATGGATTGACACAGTAGGCTCTAACATACAATGATTGTGAGGATGGCAAAGGACCAGGCAGTATTTTATTCTATCATATATAAGGGGGCTGTGAATGGGAATAGACCTGGTGACACATAACAACAACAACATACACTTAGGAGTTGTTAAGTGCCGTTGAGTCAGTTCTTATCCATAGTGACCCTGTATAGGGTTTCCATGGAGCAGCTGGTGAGCTTGAACTGCCAACCTTATAGTTCAAACCGACTTTGCAGTCCTGCGCATTAACCAACAGCGCCACACTAGGAATGTTGTTGTTAAGTGCTGTGGAATCTATTCTGACTCATAGTGATCCTGTGTAATGGCTGCTGGGTTTGAACCATCGACCTTGTGGTTAGCAGTCCAGTGCTTATCCTACAGCACCATACCAGGACTCTGTAAATAGAAGTTTCATCTGTTCACTAGTTGATACTTAGAACTACAGTGTAAGGTTTCTATTTCCCTGCATCTTTGCCAGAATTTCAGATTATCTACTTTTATAATTCTTGTCAGTTTGACTAATGTAAAATGTTATCTCATCATTTTATTGTGTCTTCCTAGTTACAAATAAGGCTGAGCATCTTGTTAGCCATTCAAATATGCCTCGCTCTTGTGAATGCCCAGTTATATCTTTTGCCCATATTTTATAGATTTGTGTTGTTCTTTGACTTATTAATTTATAGGAGTGCTCTACATAACTGAAAACTTTATGAATTAGAATACTTTCTCAGCTTTATTGCCTATTGACTTTTTGTTGTTGTTTATGGTGATTGTTATTACCATGCAGAATGTTTTAATTTTTCTGTATTGTAATATCTTTGTAAAATTTATGGATTAATTTTGGGGTAACTGGCATTTTTATAATATATGTGTATTATATCGTTCCACCTATTCAGGTCTTCTTTTATGTCCTTAAGTAGTGATTTCTTGTGTATGTGTGTGAAGATATAGCCCATTCTTTGATGAGTTAATTCACAGATACTTACAATTTTAGTTGCTATATTGTGAATTGTTGTTTTGTTAAGTGCTGTTTCATCAGTTCCAACTCACAGCAGCCTGCTACAGGATTTCCAAGGAGAGGCTGGTGCATTTGAACTGCCAGTTAATGGTGATATGTTGTTATGTGCCATTGAGTCCCTTCTGACTCTTAATGACCCTGTACAGGCTTTCCGAGGGGCAGCTGGTGGGTTTGAACTGCCAACCTTGTGGTTCTCAGTCCAGTGCTGATCTTAAAGCACCACACCAGAAACGTTATTGATTAGTATGTCTTCTTGTATCCAGGAAATTTGTTAGACTCATTGATTCTAATGATTTATATGTTGATTTTGTACAGTTTTCTATGATAATCCTTTATTTCTACAAGGATAGTTTGTCTTTTCCTTTCCAACTTTATCTTTTGTTATTTCATCCAGTACTGTGTTGCACATTAGCAATGTCCTGGGCATTCTTTATACATGTAAATGAACACATCATTTTCCAACCCCAAACCTAGAGTCATTAATATGATGGCACTCATGGGGACAGTAAAAAGGGCAAAAACACCCTGAACCGCAAGGAGCCAACAAAATGCCAAACAGATCAACTCTGTCGTATGCTTTTACTTTGAACCCACCATGCACTCATTCATCAAGAGTTGAATTCCTCTTATGTACCAGGCACTGAGGATGCGGTAACGAACAAGACAGATCTGACAATTGACTATCAAAAGTAATTACAATAAAATGTGCTGTAAATGTGTTTGACTAGGTGGTCAGAGGACGCCTACTTCAAAAGATGTTGAAATAGAGACCAGGTGGATAAGCAGCAGTTAATCCGACAAGCAGGAAGAGGGAAGAGTAGTTTATAGAAAGGAAACAACTTGTGGGAAGGTCTAGACACTACTGTGTGCTCTGTTGGAAAAGGGCCGAGAGCATGGGAGAGGAGCCACAGCCTTGTGGAACATCTCGAGGAGTTTAGATTTGGCCCAAGGGCAATGGAAAACCATCAAAATATTTTAAGACGTAGAGAATGGGTTCACATTTTAGGAAGGCATCTCAAACTGCCAGATGATGAGTCAAAAGAAGATAAAGATATGTAGAAAGAGATGGATTCAGTGATTGATTTGGTGTGACTATACAGGAAAGAATGATTTCTAGGATTCTGGCCTGAACAGCCAATTGAATGATGGTACCATTTGCTTGGACAAGGAATGTAGGAAGAAGAGCAGGTTTGGGAAGGATGATGGAGAGTTCAGTTTTTAGAAATATTGCATTTGAGGTGCCTTTGGGGATATCAAACTAAAGACAGCCAGCAGGCAGCTCTATTTCAGGGCTAGCAGAGAAATCTGAGCTATAGGTAAAGATTTATAGGAGGAATCCTTGGATAATGCAAATATTTAATGCACTCTGTTACTAACTGAAAGGTTGGAGGTTTGCATCTACCCAGAGGCACCTCAAGAGAAAGGTCTTCCCCGGAATCAGCAACTGAAAACCCTATAGAGTATAGTTCTACTCTGACACACACAGGTCCCTATGAGTCAGAGTCAACTTGATTGACTACTGGTTTCAGCTGGTGATATAAGTGTTCCGAGGTATTATATGTGTAGTGAGAAGAGAGGGATACACAAGGCAAATGCCAACATTTTAGGGAGGAGCAGGAGGCTGGCAAGGTCAGAGAGGTAAGGGGAAAACCTGTAGAATATGGTGTCTTAACTCTCACTACCATCTTCCAGAGAAACTTGAAGGCCCAGGATCCTGGGACCACAATGGAAACTCTAGGGTGTTTTAATCCTCTTCTCTGTTTCTCTTTTTACCAGTTGTCAGATATAGAATCCAGATAGTTGCGCCCCCAACTCTACCTTTGGCTATAAAGCCCAATCCAGATGGAGATGGTAAGTAGAGTGGGGTGGCTTCTCCCATTACATGGTTCTGTGACCCAAGCCAGATGGCTATCAGGGATACCCCAAACCAGTTATCTGTGGTACATCACTTCCTTCTTCCCTTCACAGGACCCAATTTTGAGCCCAACCCATGGATGTGGGTAAACCCCAATATTGTGTACCCCCCTGGAGAGCTGGAGGTCCCAGTGCCTAGAAAGGAGGAAAAGCTGCCGCTCCCCTGCCATCTGCTGCCCTCAGAAGAGGAAGATTCCAGCTGCTCAGATATCACTGTGGTAGAGCCGCTGCTCCCTGCTTCCAGTGAGCAGTCTCCTCAGAAGAAATGCTTTGCTTCTTCCCCCAGAAACCAGGAGGTAGGGACTTTGGGTGTTGTGGCTGGGCTTGGGCTTAGGATATCTATTGGAAGGGTGGCCATTAAGGATGCCTTAGAGTTTTGTTTTCCTAGGGATAACACAGAACTATGGTTAGTGGTTTCAGAAATGACCTTTCCCCTGGGGCTGGGGACCAGCTTAGATTGTGGTCCCAGACCACTGCCCTTTCTGCCACTATACCCCTGGAGTAGAGGATATAGAGTCAGGATCAGTTCCTACTCTGTGCTACTCTAGCTCACAGAAGAGGAGGAGGCTGAGGACCAGGATGACAGCTCCTCTGTGGCTCTCCCATCCCCTCACCAAAGGGCCCCCCTCCAGAATCAGAGGCTTCAGCAAAGCGACAGCCAGGAGGGGCGGCTCTGGCCCAGGCCCCCACTCAATTACTTCCACCTAATTGCCCTGGCATTAAGAAACAGTCCCCCCTGTGGCCTCAACGTGCAACAGATCTACAATTTTGCTCGGTATGTGTCAGGGGGCCCTGTGGGGAGTGGGGGGAAAGGGTATGGGGCTTGAGTCTGATGCCTTCTAGTCTGCCCCAAGTCCTGAGCTACAGCCTCTGTTTCCCCATCTGGGTCTCGGAGGATAAACAAATTCCCAGTTCTCCTTCTCCAGGCACCGGATCTAGGTTTCCCTTAAATGTGCCCATACATAGACAGGAAGCTATCCACCTTCATCTCCTTTCATAGCTTAAAAATAAAACTTCAACCTTGTAATAATCTAGGTTCTGCTTTAAAACATAAAATCACCTGGGCCAGGTAATAGTATCCCCTACCTGCTCAGGATTTCCCAACAGTTTACTGCGATTTTACCTCAGGACTGTCTGTACTGCCTGACACCGCTCCATGTGTCCCTGGGACCTGGGGCACCCAGTGAGAAAGGCTTTGCTCTTAGATTTGACATATTTAAGTGAGAAGAAGCTCTTATGCCCTTTCCCAATTTCAGGTGGAGAGAGCTTCCCACCTGTGAAGGTGCTTCCTACATCTCCAGAATCCAGAGCACACAGTAGAGTGCAGCGGGTATTCCTCCTGGGCCAGGACTCCTTTTTCAGGGTGTGGTTGGCCTGTTTCTGCTTTGGTCTGACTGCTCATCAGTGCCCTCAAGCCTTCAGAGTGAGGAAGGAAAATGGCACTGAGAATGGGGGCTCAAAAGAGAGTCCTGGTGTGGTGCTGTAGAATAAGCACTGGTCTGTAAGTCGAAAGGTCAGCAGTTCAAACCCACCAGCTGTTCCTCTGAAACCCTATACAGGGTTGCCTTGAGTCGGAACTGACTTATGACACTTAACAGAAGCACCCTCTACACACCAGGAAGGAGTCCTGGTATGGTGCTGTGGGTTAATGCGCCAGACTGCAAAGGTTGGCCGTTCAAGCTCACCAGCTGCTCCTCAGAAACCCTAGTATAAGGGTCACTATGGGTTGGAACAGACTCGAGGGCACTTCACAACAACAACACACTAGGAAAAAGATTAGAATGTCCTCAAAAGAAACCATGTCTTTCCTTAACCTTTTCTTCCTCTTTCCAGACAGCATTTCCCTTTTTTCCGGACAGCTCCAGAAGGCTGGAAGAATACAGTTCGCCACAACCTCTGTTTTCGGGAAAGTTTTGAAAAGGTGCCAGCTAGCATGCAGGGTGAGGCCAGTACTCGGCCTCGGTCCTGCCTCTGGAGACTGACTGAGGAAGGTCACCATCGCTTTGAGGAGGAGGCCCACACCTTTGACTCCACACGTCTGGAGCAAATCCAGCAGTGCATGAGCCAACCAGGTGTGAGGCTTGTACTGCAGGGGGCTATGGGGAGAAGACCTGGGGAGCCTAGCCTAATGCCAAGTGTGCAAAGAAGAAGCCATGGAGGACTTCTGTAAGAAATCTTTGTTTGGGTGGGAGAGAAGTAAGGGGGTGATAGCAGTAGTCTGAGACCCTGAGGTGAGGCCTCCACAAGCGTGAAGTTCATGGGAAACAACTTAGATGCAATTGGTCCTAATCAAAGCCAGCAGCACAGGGAAATGGTGACCATACAAGATGCTCAGTGACAGGATATATGCCAAAGGGGCATGCTCTTTTCTCACAGCAGTTCTAAGCAGCTTCAGAGCATGAGAGCCAACCAGTAGATTACTTACTGTGAGAGAGAGCAAGTGCAGAGGACAACCTACTTTAACGCTTCTTTTCTTACAGGTATGATGAACTTCCTCTTTGACTTTCTTTGATAACAGTCAGCCCAAACTTTAATAAAGTTACTCCTCAGCCTTGTGTGTATGTGTGTGTGCTTTGTATGGTCTTTGAAGAGAAGGGACAGGGATTTATTGGAAGGTTAGCTCCAAGGGTGGAAATGAGATGTTCCCAGAAGCCCTAGGGCAATTGCCTGCTGTGTAACACAGGAAATCAATATAGTTCCTCAAAGGAGGAAAAGAATACTACCCTTTTCAGGGCGATTCCCATTTTGCTGGCTAAACTTGGGAGGTGGTAGTTTATAGCAGCTAGCCCTGCCAAAGGCCCAAGGCAGAATCACTCCTCATTTTTCTACCATTTGTTAAGCAACTACTACGTACCAAGTTCAGAGGATAGATCGAATACAGGTCTTCCACTTGGGTGTAGGGACAAATGCTGCAAAGTAACAAGTACTGTAATAGTGGTAGAGAGGATAGAAAGAAAAAAAAAATAAACCCTGCCTTTATGAGCCCTAAGGAGCTCTGGTAGCGTAGTGGTTACGAATTGGGCTGTGTACCTTAAGGTCAGCAGTTCGAAACTACCAGCTGTTCCGTGGGAGAAAGATGAGGCTTTCTGCTCCCGTAAAGATTTACAGCCTCGGAAACCCTGTACGGGGTC